TAAATTTATTTTATTGATTTAATCAGGAACTACAAAACCGAATGCTTTGAAATCTTGCAGATGTTTTAAGGTTATAAAGAGCATAATAAATTTTTAGTCAAAATATATTTGGTTATCTTCTACAAAAAACTGATGACGTCAGCTCAAAAGTTTTCCGAATAAATCGTATCTAAAATGTACAAAATATGATGAGTCTGTACTTGTGATTTATCATTCCATTCATATTTTTGGATTTGCATATGCAGGGTGACTCAAAAAAATTAATGAAGGCGTGAATTTATTTTATCGATTTAATCAGGAATTACAAAACCGAATGCTTTGAAATCTTGGGAATATTTTAAAGTTATTATAAGCATGGTAAACTTTTGTTCAAAATGTATTTGTTCATCCCTCCTAAAAAAATTGATGACGTCACCCTTAAATTTTGCTGAATAAATCCTATCTAAAATGCAAAAAATATGATGAGTTTGTACTTGTGATTTATCATTCCATTCATATTTTTTAGATTTTCTTAAGAGGTGGTTCAAAAAAATTAATGAAGTCAATTTATTTTATTGATTAAATTAAAGGCAACACTTATTATTAGTATTACACCCCAACCAACCCAATTTGGTAGACACAAAATTTGTTAAAGGAAAAACTCGGTTGAAACATAAGGGTAGCACGCTTATTTACATCGACTTTAACATTACAGACCTGCATTTGTTTTATGCGTTCACTTGATTCCGCGAATGTGAAATAGACATGTTTATAATCAACCAATTGTGAATTTCACCGTCAAGAATTAAAATAAAACCCAATGTTTTATATAATAAGCGGAAGTCGAAGCAATAAAACCGACGGTCGTTTTGTTTACAGTTTCTGTGTTTGGCTCTCACGTATGCTGTTACGCCTGTCATCTTAAATTAACAATGTTTATACATACACGATTTTCAGTTGCCTCTGATACGTAGGTATACGTGAGTAAATTGTTTCGTTATTTTATTGATTATTACAAATCAATATTCAAACGACCCAATTCATTTTCCCGAAAATTTGAGAATATAATAATTTTATTCTTAGTATTACACTACATCTATCCCAACTGATATACGTGTCCTTGCAAAAATGTTGATGACGTCATCGCAATTTTTTTTTAAATTCCCACTACAAAAATGTAATGAGAAAAAAAACACAATAGGCATGCAGTCGTCAAGTTTCCGACAGCGAGGGAAGTACTGTCTAAACTCTTTAGACCAATTTTTTTAAATATTTTTACTTCCCGAGCGTAAGCAAAGGAAGTATTGTAATCGAGTCCGTCGGCCGAGTCTCTACTTTTACGTTTTCTCGATCTTTCATGACCCCTAGAAGACGAGGAAATAGGTCTCCCATTTCCGTCTGTCTGTCCGTCTGTCCGTCTGTCCGTCTGTCCGTCTGTCCGTCCGTCTGTCCGTCCGTCTGTCCGTCTGCCGTCCCGGATTTTTATTAGACAGATAATCTCCGAAAGTACTCGACCGATTGTTGTGCAATTTTGTACTTATATTAAGAATATCATGTAGATGGTAAAACGCTAACCAAAATTTGTCTAATCATCCCCACCACTAATGCGATGACGTCACTTCAAAATTGTACATAGTAAATGGGTTTTCAATTGTATAAAATAACATAGTCCATGTAGTTTACAACTCTGAATCCACTTTTCACCCGAAACGTCTAGATTTTTGGAAAAAAAATCAAAATTATAAAACAACATTTTGAAATTTAATTTTTAATCTGCTAACCAGAATGCTTTGAAATGTTGCAGATGTTTTAAGGCTATAAAGAGCATTATAAATCTTTAGTCAAAAAATATTTGCTTATCCCCTCCAAAAATTTGATGACGTCAGCTCAAAAGTTTATGGAATAAATCATATCTAAAATGTACAAAATATGATGAGTCTGTACTTGTGATCTATCACTCCATTCATATTTTTTGGATTTGCATATACAGGGTGACTCAAAAAAATTAATGAATGCGTAAATATATTTTATTGATTTAATCAGGAACTACAAAACCGAATGCTCTGAAATCTTGCAGATGTTTTAAGGTCATAAAGAGCATAATAAATGTTTAGTCAAAATATATTTGCTTATCCCCTCCAAGAAATTGATGACGTCAGCTCGAAAGTTTGCCGAATAAATCATATCTAAAATGTAGAAAATATGATGAGCCTGTACTTGTCATTTATCACTCCATTCATATTTTTTGGATTTGCATATACAGAGTCACTCAAAAAAATTAATGAATGCGTAAATATATTTTATTGATTTAATCAGGAACTACAAAACGGAATGCTCTGACATCTTGCAGATGTTTTAAGGTTATAAAGAGCATAATAAATGTTTAGTCAAAATATATTTGCTTATCCCCTCCAAAAACTTGATGACGTCAGCTCGAAAATTTGCCGAATAAATCATATCTAAAATGTACAAAATATGATCAGTCTGTACTTGTGATCTATCACTTCATTCATATTTTTTGGATTTGCATATACAGGGTGATTCAAGAAAATAAATGAAAGCGTAAATTTATTTTACTGATTTACTCAGGAACTACAAAACCGAATGCTTCGAAATCTTGAAGATATTTTACAATTATCATAAGCATGGTAAATTTTTGATCAAAACGTATTTGGTCGTCCCCCCTAAAAAATTTATGACGTCACCACAAAATTTTGCTGAATAAATCCTATCTAAAATGTACAAAATATGGTGAGTCTCTTCTTGTGATTTATCATTCCATTCAAATTTTTTCAATTTGCATATACAGGGTGACTCAAAAAAAATTATGAATGCGTAAATTTATTTTATTGATTTAATCAGGAACTACAAAACCGAATGCTTTGAAATCTTGCAGATGTTTTAAGGTTATAAAGAGCATAATAAATTTTTTGTCAAAATAGATTTGGTTATCTTCTACAAAAAACTGATGACGTCAGCTCAAAAGTTTGCCGAATAAATCGTATCTAAAATGTACAAAATATGATGAGTTTGTACTTGTGATTTATCATTCCATTCATATTTTTTAGATTTTCTTAAGAGGTGGTTCAAAAAAATTAATGAAGTCAATTTATTTTATTGATTAAATTAAAGGCAACACTTATTATTAGTATTACACCCCAACCAACCCAATTTGGTAGACACAAAATTTGTTAAAGGAAAAACTCGGTTGAAACATAAGGGTAGCACGCTTATTTACATCGACTTTAACATTACAGACCTGCATTTGTTTTATGCGCTCACTTGGTTCCGCGAATGTGAAATAGACATGTTTATAATCAACCAATTGTGAATTTCGCCGTCAAGAATTAAAATAAAACCCAATGTTTTATATAATAAGCGGAAGTCGAAGCAATAAAACCGATGGTCGTTTTGTTTACAGTTTCTCTGTTTGACTCTCACGTATGCTGTTACGCCTGTCATCTTAAATTAAGAATGTTTATACATACACGATTTTCAGTTGCCTCTGATACGTATACGTGAGTAAATTGTTTCGTTATTTTATTGATTATTACAAATCAATATTCAAAACGACCCAATTCATTTTCCCAAAAATTTGAGAATATAATAATTTTATTCTTAGTATTACACTACATCTATCCCAACTGATATACGTGTCCTTGCAAAAATGTTGATGACGTCATCGCAATTTTTTTTTAAATTCCCACTACAAAAATGTAATGAGAAAAAAAACACAATAGGCATGCAGCCGTCAAGTTTCCGACAGCGAGGGAAGTACTGTCTAAACTCTTTAGACCAATTTTTTGTAAACAGATTTGCTTGTGATTTTAAAACTGATTTATAATTTATTATAGTTTTCTTTTAATATTCTTTGTAACTAAATAGATATCTTTGTGTTTTTAAAACTGTTTTTTTTTTAAATATATTTTATTGCAACGTTTATTTTTGATTGTATATTGTTTATGATCCTTTTTTTTGTCTATACTAATTATACTTGTAATTACCTGTATGTACATTTATTTATGTTCTTAAGAGTGGTTTGTTTAATTGACATATATTTTTTTATTTGTTTATTTGAAGTTCATTGTTGGTTGTACAGAATTGAAGTAAATTTATTTTTTTACACCCATTTGTTTTAACTTTAATTAATATATATTTTGTTTTGGGGTGTACTTGGTGATTATAACGAATTATAATATTTTATTTAAGGTAAACAATATAAAAATATAAAATTATATCAGCGTTTTATTTATTGCATATTTTTTTCTAAAAATCAAAATATAAAAAACGTCTTAAAATGGACAATACATGCCGTCTCTAAGACGTCAGTACAACACGTCAATAGTTCGTCACAAAATGACGACTCTAAGACGTCAGTACACCACGTCAATAGTTCGTTAGAAAATGACGTCATCTGGACGAGACATTTGACTGTCATTGGTATGTCAATATCACGTGAAAAAGATGACATCATGTTGCCTGGGATACATTTTTGTCGATTTTTTAAAAATTTTTATTAGTTTTCCTAGAATTTTGTTAATGTTCGTGGGTCAATTTTTGTAGTGTTTCGATTCATAATTAATTTCCTACTTATTCTAATTTGATAATTTGGAATCCTGAACCCAAAAAATCTAAAATTTTGCATTCGTAAGTAAGCAAAAATATGTAGCCTGAGGTTTATTTTAAATGTTGTCCATGACACACACACCTAGCTGAAATTTCGGTAAAGTCACCAACAATTTAATGGAATTTTTTTTTCTTTACGGGAATTGTTTCAGTTCTTACATTGCGCCTTTTGTCTTTCCTTTATGAAGTATCAAGTGGAATTTATCTTTCTATTTCAGTGACTAAAAAAATACTGTACGACTGTTTATTTGCTTGTGTTTCCATTTTAAACAGTTTTTTATAAAATAAATGTGTGTGAGTTGGGTACGAATTCAATGAAATTTAATGATCTGTTTTATTAAATATTATTGTAATAAGTAAGTTTAAAACATTATATGTAATTGAATTTCCAAGCTTTAATTTCTGTCTTCAACTCTGATCCTGTACCCTTTTTTAGCTATCCCGAATAAAAATATGTCCATTTCTATGTCCTCTACTCTTTTGTAATCAATGGCCTCTAATATTCTAAAGCGCTTCAAAATGACAGCCAAGAAAACCTTCATAGACAGCATAGCATATTTTATACCTGAAAAAAATGACAATCTATTTTCAAAAACAAAAAAAAAACCGTTTACCTATGCAGTTTCTTGCACCAGCACCGAAAGGAAGATATGCACCACGTGGTCGTTTTTCAACTTCTTCAGGCAAAAATCTGTCAGGATCAAACTTTAAAGGATTAGGCCATATGTCAGGCCATCTATGAAGCTGTGAAATCGAAATCAAGATTTCACAGTTAGCCGGTACAAAATAAGATTCTAATTCAATTTCTTCGTCTATTTTTCTTAGTATAAAAGGTACCGATGGAAAAATTCTGATTGTTTCTTTAATCACGCGTTCTAAGTAGTTCATTTTATTGACACATTCCAGCGTAAGGTCCTGGGTATCATCAGTGAGTAATGATATTTCTTGGTATACTTTTTCCTAAATAAGTAGACTACAGTTTTTGGTTTTATCAATATTGATGTGTAACCTGAATTTCGGGATGCATCCCTAATAAGACTAAAGCTGAGCCTACTGCAGGTGTTGTTGAATCATTGGCTGCCAGTAACATTAAGGCACCTTCTTCTAATAAACCATCTGTGGTTAAATTATTTTGTTTGTTCATTTCCAGTAGATAGTTTAAAAATTGCTTTTTGCTATTTTTATTTTCTGGTTGGCTTTGTTTCACAGCGATTACCTAAAATACTAATTTCAACTCATTTCTTTGGCTGTTTTTAAAAATGTACCTGCTTGATAAAATCCTCAAAAACTTTACCAATCTCTAGTTGTTCTTTCCTCAGAGACGATCTCTTCCAAAAATAATCTATGTTTAGATGTGGCTTGAAAAAGCGATATTTTACACTTTTTTGGTATCTATAACATTTGATGATAGAAGAATGTGATATTACAGCTGCAGATATTACCTGTATCCAGTGGCCAAAAATTTTTCTTTGTTGTATAATGAGTCAGGACGTACGTCTGCTAGTGTTTCTACAAAATATAGAATTAATTATACAACAAGAAATAACAAACAAATGTACCGTACCACACCCAGCATTAAGGTAAGTTTTCATTATTATGTCAAACAGATCTGGTGGGTCATTTGTTCCCTTACATACTTTATCTAGTTCGTCTGCTAAACAGTTTGCACATTTAGTAAACGCAGGAACAAATGAATTGACAACATTTGAATTAAAAGTTTGATTTATCAGTTTTCTTCGTCCTTTCCAAATTTCAGCTGAAATAAAAAGTGATTTTCGGTGGTAACAAGCTCAAATATTTACGTGGAGAGATCAGTAAGCCAGTTTTTAAAGCATCTCCTAAGTATTTAGCGTAATATATGCTTTTATCAACAGACTTGTTTAGCAAAATTTCCACGTCCCCTGGTTTAGAGATAAAAAGGTAAAAAAATGGCCCAAACCATACCCGAGTGACAGGAGAATATTGTGCTATGCGCATTAAAGTATTATAGCTTTCTAAAACAAGAAAAAATAAACTCGTGACAAATAATATTCTGTTTTTACCTGCAGGTCCTGCTGTTAGTAAATGGGCGGACCCGATTAAGGGAAATCCAAAAGGGCCTGGATGTTTGAAGGAACAATAATATAGACGTCTCCTTTTCCAAATGAAATACAAGGTTAAAGCTATTATGAAATACAAGAAGGTGGATGTAAGAGAAAACTGATGCATGTCTGGGAGCACCTTTTAACTGTGTGTTATGGATTTTGCCACCAACAAATGTACAACACAAAATGAACAGTGTTTTCTAATATACGTCAATTATTCAACAAATAGCGATTTTCTTAAAAACCAAACCAGTTTTATCAAGGCTGTATTCTGCAATTATAAAAAATTATCTAATATTATCTAATCAACATAATGCAATCCTAATTAGTTAAGTGACAATACGTATATATTCACTAAGAAATACATGTTTTTAAATAATCAATCAGTAATTTTTTTCAAACGTTTATAAAGTGATGATGGTTACCAAAAAAGTTAGAGAGTGATTTAATATTTAGTTTTATCAAATTTATTTCATCTAATGAAAAAATAATGCTCAACTTCCGTATTTACTTACAATACGTCAGATGTTTGAGGCGTGCATTCGGACTTTGCCTTTTTTCGGTATTTATGTTTACTGCACTTCACGGCGAAGCATTCCAATATTTCCAGTTGGGTCTCAACCACCGAAGCTTTCTTGTGTATCCGTTACTCACTTCATTTTTAACGCAGGTTTGTGAAAATTTCTGCCATTCAGTGTGGGTTGTACTTATTTAGACTAGGTAAGTTAATATCTAATAAAGTAATCATTTTAATTTTTACGTGTTTCTGTTATTTTTGATAACTGTACGTAGATAACAAAAGCAGTTTTTTTTCAGATAAGCTGGAAAGACCACCATTAATCACTGAAGATACTCCCACTAATTATGAAAAACTTACGGTGATTGTTTTTGAAAATGAGGCGCCATAAAATATTGCAAAGGTATGTTACTGCAATTTTTTATGAACTAATGCTAATGAACATAATTTTATTCAAGATTTGAAACAAATACAAAACACATGTGCGAAACGAAAGAAATGCTAAAGGAAATGAGTGAAAAAATCTCCAGCATAGAAACGTCATCAAATCTGACAACTGGAAAAGAAAAGAAAAATAGAAGTTATGCCGCCAAGACCACACCTAAACAAATTTTGACGAATTACGAGATTATCTTTGCCTATTAGAACAAGCAGATTTCTTTGTAAGTTAAAAAAATACAATGAATTCATATATGCATACAACATTGGATATTATATACAGGTAGATGCCTGTAACACCACGATACTTTTTGGTAACTTAATGGCACATTTCGCTTCATTGTAAAAAATTATTGACAACGAGATTTTCCTGATAGGGTATGCGTTTTTGTCAATGCAACCATTTTACGATTATCCGTTAAATTCAAGTAAATTTAGCATTTTTAAAATGCAGAATTTGTCTTCTGCTTGAAGCTGAAATCCCTTAAATTTAATAAAAGCCAAATGCTTGCTGTTGCTAATAGACGAAAAAATTATTGCATTTCCATTAATCCATGCACTCGAACGGTTTTTTTTTTCAGTGCAATAAATTGAGGCAAACTTAAAAAACTTAGGTTATTAATATGATTGTTAAAACAGAATTAATTCTTAGCGGTACTTTTTTCTGTGTTGGGGACAGTCAAGTCGTCGTGAATTAGAAAGTTTTACAGTACAATTTCAAATCAAGTAACTTCAACAATGCGATTCAATTGTCTTTTCCATTTATTCTATTTTTTTTAAATATTTTTTGTAAACAGATTTGTTTGTGTTTTTAAGACTGATTTATAATTTATTATAGTTTTCTTTTAATATTCTTTGTAACTAAATAGATATCTTTGTGTTTTTAAAACTGATTTTTTTTTAAATCGCATGCAACGTCTATTTTTGATTGTATATTGTTTATTATCCTTTTTTTGTTTATACTAATTATACTCGTAATTACCTGTATGTAGATTTGTTTATGTTCTTAGGAGTGGTTTGTTTAATTGACACATATTTTTTCACTTGTTTATTGAAGTTCATTGTTGGTTGTACAGAATTGAAGTAAATTTATTTTTATACACTAATTTGTTTTAACTTTAATTAATATGTATTTTTTTTTGGGGTTTACTTGGTGATTATAACGAATTATAATATTTTATTTAAGGTAAACAATATAAAAATATAAAATTATATCAGCGTTTTATTTATTGCATATTTTTTTCTAAAAATCAAAATATAAAAAACGTCTTAAAATGGACAATAAATGCCGTCTCTAAGACGTCAGTTTATCACGTCAATAGTTTGTTACAAAATGACGACTCTAAGACGTCAGTACATCACGTCAATAATTCGTTAGATAATGACGTCATCTGGACGAGACATTTGACCGTCATTGGTACGTCAGTATCACGTGAAATCTTTGGTCACTGTGACGTAATTGATCAATTTTTGTAATGTTTCGATTCATAATTAATTTCCTACTTATTCTAATTTGATAATTTGGAATCCTGAACCCAAAAAATCTAAAATTTTGCATTCGTAAGTAAGCAAAAATATGTAGCCTGAGGTTTATTTTAAATGTTGTCCATGACACACCTACCTGAAATTTCGGTAAAGTCTCCAACAATTTTATGGAATTTTTTTTTCTTCACAGGAATTGTTTCAGTTCTTACATTGCGCCTCTTGTCTTTCTTTTATGAAGTATCAAGTGGAATTTGTCTTTCTGTTTCAGGGACTAAAAAAAGACTGTACGACTGTTTATTTGCTTGTGTTCTCATTTTAAACAGTTTTTCATAAAATAAATGTGTATGAGTTGGGTACGAATTCAATGAAATTTAATGATCTGTTTTATTAAATATTATTGTAATAAGTAAATTTAAAACATTATATGTAATTGAATTTCCAAGCTTTAATTTCTGTCTTCAACTCTGATCCTGTACCCTTTTTTAGCTATCCCGAATAAAAATATGTCCATTTCTATGTCCTCTACTCTTTTGTAATCAATGGCCTCTAATATTCTAAAGCGCTTCAAAATGACAGCCAAGAAAACCTTCATAGACAGCATAGCATATTTTATACCTGAAAAAAATGACAATCTATTTTCAAAAACAAAAAAAAAGCCGTTTACCTATGCAGTTTCTTGCACCAGCACCAAAAGGAAGATATGCACCACGTGGTCGTTTTTCCACTTCTTCAGGCAAAAATCTGTCAGGATCAAACTTTAAAGGATTAGGCCATATGTCAGGCCATCTATGAAGCTGTGAAATCGAAATCAAGATTTCACAGTTAGCCGGTACAAAATAAGAGTCTAATTCGATTTCTTCGTCTATTTTTCTTAGTATGAAAGGTACCGATGGAAAAATTCTGATTGTTTCTTTAATCACGCGTTCTAAGTAGTTCATTTTATTGACACATTCCAGTGTAAGGTCCTGGGTATCATCAGTGAGTAATGATATTTCTTGATATACTTTTTCCTAAATAAGTAGACTACAGTTTTTGGTTTTATCAATATTGATGTGTAACCTGAATTTCGGGATGCATCCCTAATAAGACTAAAGCTGAGCCTACTGCAGGTGTTGTTGAATCATTGGCTGCCAGTAACATTAAGGCACCTTCTTCTAATAAACCATCTGTGGTTAAATAATTTTGTTTGTTCATTTCCAGTAGATAGTTTAAAAATTGCTTTTTGCTATTTTTATTTTCTGGTTGGCTTTGTTTCACAGCGATTACCTAAAATACTAATTTCAACTCATTTCTTTGACTGTTTTTAAAAATGTACCTGCTTGATAAAATCCTCAAAAACTTTACCAATCTCTAGTTGTTCTTTCCTCAGAGACGATCTCTTCCAAAAATAATCTATGTTTAGATGTGGCTTGAAAAAGCGATATTTTACACTTTTTTGATATCTATAACATTTGATGATAGAAGAATGTGATATTATTACAGCTGCAAATATTACCTGTATCCAGTGGCCAAAAATTTTTCTTTGTTGTATAATGAGTCAGGACGTACGTCTGCTAGTGTTTCTACAAAATATAGAATTAATTATACAACAAGAAATAACAAACAAATGTACCGTACCACATCCAGCATTAAGGTAAGTTTTCATTATTATGTCAAACAGGTCCGGTGGGTCATTTGTTCCCTTACATACTTTATCTAGTTCGTTTGCTAAACGGTTTGCACATTTAGTAAAAGCAGGAACAAATGAATTGACAACATTTGAATTAAAAGTTTGATTTATCAGTTTTCTTCGTCCTTTCCAAATTTCAGCTGAAAGAAAAAGTGATTTTCGGCGGTAACAAGCGCAAATATTTACGTGGGGAGATCAGTAAGCCAGTTTTTAAAGCATCTCCTAAGTATTTAGCGTAATATATGCTTTTATCAACAGACTTGTTTAGCAAAATTTCCACGTCCCCCGGTTTAGAGATAAAAAGGTAAAAAAATGGCCCAAACCATACCCGAGTGACAGGAGAATATTGTGCTATGCGCATTAAAGTATTATAGCTTTCTAAAACAAGAAAAAATAAACTCGTGACAAATAATATGCTGTTTTTACCTGAAGGTCCTGCTGTTAGTAAATGGGCGGACCCGATTAAGGGAAATCCAAAAGGGCCTGGATGTTTGAAGGAACAATAGTAGAGTCGTCTCCGTTTCCAAATGAAATACAGTATTAAGGCTACTATGACAAACAAAAGGGTGGATGTAACAGACAACTGACGCATGTCTGACAACACTATGAATTGGTTTAAAAAACACATTGATTATGTCGCTAAGTCACTAACAAATATAGATAACAAAGTGTTCACGAATTGTTTTTCCCTGCATTAAATAAATTTTTAAAAACAATTTTTTGTTGAATTGGTTTTACAAAACGCTATTTAATAGTTTTTTAACTGCTTCTAGCTAACACAATCTTAATTTAAGTGGAAATTTTGATGCACCTAGGAATGAGTAAGATTTTCATGTAGATTACCAACAATTAATATCCTATAGTATCCGCTTTAATAATTTGTTTATTAATATTATTATTATGTGTAATTTAGAGCTGATTCATTAAAATTCCAATTAAGCTCATGACTCGTATGTTACAGAAATGATAATTAATTCATAATTAGCTAGAAAAATAAATTAGACAAATCAATTCCTAAGTGCCCTTGCAAATGAATCCACGAGTGCGTTAGCGATTCAGATCAAGAAAATCGTTTTAAACATAGGCAACCATGTGCAAGTTTAGTTCTTTTCTGGTAGTTGGTAGCTCTCCTAGGGAATTTCTGGGTAGTATCTAGTTAGAGGATTCGTAGAGGATGGCTTGCTTTTGTTGTCCAAGCGGAAATATACGACTTTTCGAGCGACGCCAACACGTGGGGTAAATTTGATTTATTCTTTGTAAATTCATAGTTCATGTTGGAATTTTAATCGTTAACTGGTTCTAACACAATTTAACAGTCATGAGATTGTTTAAATAAAGCACTTGCTAGGAGATTTAATTAAATTCACTTATTCAGAACTCATCCTTTGTTTATCAAGTTATAAATAAGGTTTCTGGATACTTACAAAGCATTGCATTAAAACCAAAGCGCGGAATAAAATTTCACGCGCTCGATCCACTGCTGCCGCGTCGAAACTTTGATTACAAATGTATTTTCCTTTTGGACTATATCAACATAATATAACATTTCACGATAACAAAATTGTGGTCTTGTGGTTGAAAAATTAAAAAGGGGCACAGCTTATTATTATTTGCAGTAATATACTAATACAGAAGTAGTATTATTAACACGCAAACACTCCTAGAGACGCACTGGTGGACCAGATCAAGCCGTAAGATTTAATTCCGCGCACCGATTATAACACTTCTTAATTCCTCCCCCAAGATTGTTAATAATTCATTTATGACAGTTAAAATTAACCTAACGTTGTCCCACTTTGGGAAAAAGGACCGTGCAAAATGCGGTAGAATTTATAATATCGTGGATTAAGGGACTGGGGGATTAAATTTTTCCCTTTAGGTAGTTATCATCATATCAGCATCACAACATAGAGACATTTTTCTCGCAACGTGGAAAACATTTTGTGTTTATTTATCATATATGTTGTTTGGGATAAGCTGGGGACAGTCCACGATATAAACTCTCAAAGCTAATTGTTTTAAGTAACCAATCACTTGGATCATGGCATAATTTAACATCATGTAAATTCTTTGCCTGAATCGTTGATAAAGTGTGGCACAATTTAACATCATGTAAATTCTATGTTTGAATCGTTGATAAAGTGTAGCAAATATGAATCTCATGTAATTTTTTTCGCTATCTCACAATTTTCTTTGCTGTATAATTTAAAATGGAACGTAAATTTTCGTGCTCTGTAGTTTCTAACTTCAAGTAATATTTTTGTCTGTTTGATAACAGATTTAATAATGGCTGTAGTGTGTTTAACCCCCTTCAGACTTTCTGTTACAACTTGTATAAGATCAGTTTTCTGGGCTTCAAATAAGGCTGAGAAATGTCAGTGGACAAAAATTGCTTTGTGTAAAAATATGTTACAGGTAATAAATATAATTATAGACATTCCTCGTGTATAAAACTGTGTATACTTAGCAAAAATTTTCCATATTTTACAAATATTTGTGTACATAAATCCACCCTTTACTGATATATTAAATTTCCAAGTTTTAATTTCTGTCTTCAAGTCTAATCCTGTATCCTTTTTTAGCCACCCCCATTAAATACATGTCCATATCTATGTCCTCTATTCTTTTGTAATCAATGGACTCTGCTATTTTAAAACGCTTCAAAATGACAGCCAAGAAAACCTTCATAGACAGCATAGCATATTTCCAACCTGTAAAAAAATGATAATCTATTTTCAACAAAAAAAAAACTTTTACCTATGCAATTCCTGGGACCAGTACTAAAAGGAAGGTAAGCACCCCGAGGACGATTTTTGATTTCTTCAGGCAAGAATCTATCAGGATCAAACTTTGAAGGATTCGGCCATAGATCAGGCCAGCGATGAAGTTGGGCAAGGGGAATTAGAATGTCACAACCAGCTGGTACAAAATAAGAACCTATAAAAGTGATCAATTAATATCCACTCAACCCAGACTATAGTTGTACCTAATTTGACTTCTGTGTTTACTTGTCTCAGAATAAAAGGAATTGTTGGAAAAAATCGGAGTGTTTCTTTAATCACGCGTTCTAAGTATTTCATTTGATTGATGTGTTGCAGTGTAACGTTGTGAGTATTGTCAGTAAGTACTGACGATATTTCTTCAAAGAGTTTTTCCTAAATAACAACAATAGAGTTCTTGCTTTTACTTAAAACTGATGTGTAACCTGAATTTCGTGATGCATCCCTAACATGACTAAGGCTGAGCATAGTGCAAGCGCTGTTGTTTCACTGGCTGCGTGGAACATTAAGGCACCTTCTTCTAATACACCATCCATAGTTATTTTGTTTCGTTTCTTCATTTCCAGCAGATAATTTAGAAATCGCTTTTTTCTATCTTCACTTTCGGGTTGATTTTGTTTTATATCAATAATCTAAATACAAATTTCAATTCGTTTTGTTGCTTCTTTTAAAAAAAATACCTGTTTCATAAAATTTTGAAGAACTTGAGAAATTTCTAGTTGTTCTTTTCTCAGAGGCGATCTCTCCCAAAAATAATTTATGTTTAGATGCGGCTTGAAAAAGCGAGATTTCACACTTTCTTCGAATCTAGAATATTTGATGATAGAAGAATGTAATTTTAGAGCTACTAATGATACCTAAATCCACAAGATAAAAATTGGTCTCTGTTGTGTAGTGAGTTTGGACATACATCTCCTAATGTTTCTACGAAATATATAATTATCCAACAAAATCATCAAGTACATAGGTAATATTAAACAAAAATTTTCTACTGAACTTTTTTCGAATTTTTCAATATAACTGATATCTGGCAAGAATTACACCTTCATGCTAAAAGTTGTAGTAATTAAAGGTGATATGAATATGGAATATAAACGTATCTCTAAATCAAACATTAGTTTTTAAAAGTTCACTACTCCGATAATAATAATAATAATAATAATAAAAATAAATAATAAAAAAAAAATCATACCACAAGCAATATCGATGTTCCATTTCCAAATTATTTCAAACAGATCCGGTGAGTTCATTGTTCCCTTACATATTTTATCTAATTCGTCTGCTAAACAGTTTGCATATTTATCAAACACAGGAATAAATGAATGGATAACATTCAAATTAAAACTATGATTAATCAGCTTTCTTCGTTCCTTCCAAAGTTCAACTGAAAAAAAAAATTAATTTCAACCAAAATAAACGAAAATACTTACGTGAAGAAACTGGTAAAGCATTTTTTAAAGCAACTCCCAAATATTTAGAGTAATATATGCTTTTGTCTAAACACTTGTTTAGCAAAATTTCCGTGTCCTCCGCTTTCGAGATAAAAAGATGGAAAAATGGCCCAAGCCACATTCGAGTAACAGGAGCATATTGTGCTATGCGCATTAAAATATTATAGGTTTCTAAAATAAGAAAATAGTAAACTGGTGGCAAATAATTGTTTTTACCTGCACGTCCTGGTTTTAGTAAATGGACAGACCCAATCAAGGGAAATCCAAAAGGGCCTGGATGCTTGAAGGAACAATAATATAGATGTTTCCGTTTCCAAATAAAATATAGGATCAAAGCTACTATGACATACAAAAGGGTGGATGTAATAGACAACTGATGCATGTCTGACAACACGTTTAAAGTGTATCAAAAACACATCGATTATTTCAGTCACTAACCAATACGGATGACAAAGTGTTCTCAAAATTTTCAGCACTGTGTTAAATAAGTTTTTAACACCAGTTTTTTTATACGGACAGTTTTTTAGTGCTATTTTTTGTTGCATCTAGAAATTAATTGTTTTTAAACATCGAGCCATTTTTTTATATGAAGTGAAACACTAATTATAGAAGTGTAAGTGACGGCTGTAAGGTTGTTACACTTTTATGTTAATTTTACTCAATTATTTTTACATTGCACACCTAAAAAATGTATTATTAATGACAAAAAACAAATCAATCAATTAATGAATAAATGTAGCTGACTATTATATGTTGGCAGACAAGAAATATAATCTAAAAACATGCACAAACAACTTCTAAAAATTTCTTTATTATTAAAAATATTTATTAACATTCTTGTGTGAATTGGCTGATACAAACTTAATTTAAAAATTGCTCTAAGATTATTGAGTACATAACTTTCCTCGTCGTCTTTTTCGAAAAATCATAAAATTTGTTTTAGCAGTTTTAACAGTTCAAAGTTTAAAATTCTTGGAAAAATCCATTGGATTACAAAACATGATTCATAATTTGGTAAGTAAATTGTGTTTTTTTTTGTATTTTTTTGTGAATCCTTGACAAATCGAGGGCCGGTTTATGGAAAGCGAATTAAATATTTAATAATTGGTTTTCCATGAACCGGATCCTAGTATATTTATTTAGAGTAAAGCATATTCGGGTGCCTATTTAGTCCGAAAATAATTACTCTGTGATAACTAAACAGTAAATAATAATTCCAAGGCATTCTCAAAATATATTTTTAATGTATCTAGCCTGACGTCACTAGGAGATGCGCAGCGACCATGGCTAAAAAGTAGGGGTGGGGAGTATTTGACGGAACAGGTATTTCGGAACTGTTACCAACGTGGAACAGGAACAAGTTGTTACCGAAGATTCGAAATAACAGTTATTCGGGATAAATCTGTTCCTTTAAAATATAAGTCCGCAAAACTGGTTTTATAAGTGAAACTAGCGATTTGCGATGATAAATTTAAATATATAATATAATAATACAATAAATAATAATACATATAAGCAGAAAGGTTACATTGAGAATTATTTGGAATAAAGAATTTTATTTAATAAAGGCACTGTTGTATTTGGAAGCAGTGATACAAAATATTCAAGATTTAATATATTTTTTAATTTAGTTTTTTTTCCAATAAAATAGTAAACTAAGAAATTAGATAACAGCAACGAGAAAGAACATATAGGAACGTCAATTTTCTCTTATAGGCTACGTTGGTTATAAATAAAAATTATTAAATCTTTATATTAAATCAAAAAAAATCTTAAGTAACAATTTCAGATTCCGAAGGCAAAATCCGAAGACCAAAATCGTAACATAACGAAACAAGTACGTAAAGAACAAATAACAGTTTTATCTGTAGCAGAGCCGCATAGTAAGTATACGGGATGAAAGTGTTCTTCCTAGGAAACGCAATAACAAATTGTTCCAGAATCACTGTTATTTGGAACTGTTCCTAAAATGGAACAGTAACAAATTGTTCCTGTTCCTCAAAAAAGTAACAGTTCCCCATCCCTACTAAAAAGTTAAAACGCCTAAATATTCCTCAACCACACCAGAGAACATAGAGAAGCGTCATAGTTTAAATTAAATGACGGTTGAGGAGTCCTCGACTTATGTTGGCAACAGTGTTTGTTTCTAACTAGGAATAAAATTAACTAGAAAAAATGTCATAATATTTTTAATGACGCGTTTTACTTTCGACAAATTGATACTAGATTTACCAGAATATTACAAGCTGCATACTGTTTGTTGAGAACTTGTTTGATCTACAGACCAGAGCGCACTCAGGCCAATGTCGACTCTAAGCGTTCAGAAACGATTTGATTTATAAGCTATGATCCGTGATCTGATACACATTCTAACCGGTTTCGAGCATAATTTCTGCTGTTTCAACTTTCGAATTCTCAGTTTTTCGAAATTTTAGTTTAGGGACCTTTCAGTTTACTCCTATTTATTTTTCAATTTTTGGATTTTACAATTTCTCAATTTTTCAATTTCTCGGTTTTCAGTTTTTCTCTTCAATTTTACGACTTTTAAATATTTCGATTTTTCAAATTTTGACTTTGGAAACTTGTATTTGTAGATTTTTCAGTTAATTGACTTTTCAGGTTTTTTGGTTTTTCAATTTTTCTATTTTTTCAGGTTTCGATTTTTCAACTTCACTTTTTAGTTTTTCGATTTCTCAATTTTTCAATTTTTTAATTTCTCAGTTTTGGGATTTTTCAGTTTATTTAATATTCGATTTTTCGGTCTTACGATTTTGCAGGTTTTTGATTTTTCAATTTTTTGATTTTTTTAAAGTTTCGATATTTCGAGTTCACTTTTTTGATTTTCCGATTTCTCAATTTTTCAATTCTTTAGATTTCAGTTTTTGGATATTTCAGTTGGGATTTTGCAGTTTTTCGATTCGTCAGTTTGTCTTTCATTTTTCAGTTTTTCAATATTTCAGTTTTGGGATTTTTCAATATTTTTCTTCGACTTTTCGATTTTTGGCTTCTAGAGTTTTCGATGTGTCGATTTTTTTACTTTTTCGATTTTTCAATTTTTCGATTGCTTAATCCTTCGATTTTTCGACTTCCCGGTTTTATATTTTCTGTTTTCAATTGTCGTTTTTAATTTTTCGATATTTCAATGTTTTGATTTCCCGATTTAGTTTCCCATTTTTAGTTTTTCTTTCATTTTTCAGTTTTTGATATTTCAGTTTTGGGATTTTTTAATATTTCGATTCTTCGACTTTTTGATTTTTGACTCCTGGATTTTTCGATGTGTCGATTTTTTTAACTTTTTCGATGTTTCAATTTTTCGATTTTTAAATTTTAGATTTTTTAATTTTTTAGTATTTTAATTTTTCAATATTTAAAATTTTAGATTTTTCGATTTCCCGATTTTTCATTTCAGCTCTTCCATATTTAAATTTTTTAACCGTTTCGATTTCTTAATCCTTCGAATTTTCGACTTCCCGGTTTTAGATTTTCGGTTTTTCAATTGTCGTTTTTTCAAATTTTCCATTTTTCAATTTTTCAAATTTGACATTTATAAACTGTCAATTTTTCGATTTTTCAGTTAATCGATGTTTTGATTTTCCCATTTCTTGACTTTCGAGGGTTTCGATATTCCTTGTCTTCAATTCTTTAATTTTTCGATTTTTCAGGTTTTTGATTTTTTATTTTTTAATTTTTTTAAGGCTTCAATTTTTCGACTTCACTTTTTGGATTTTTCTATTGCTCAATTTTTCGACTTTTTAGGTTCTCAGTTTTTGGATATTTCAGTTTTTGGATTTTTCAGGTTTTCCATTTTTCAGTTTTTCTTTCATTTTTCAGTTTTTCGATACTTCAGTTTTGGGATTTTTCAATATTTTGATTCTTCGACTTTTCGATTTTTGACTCCTGGATTTTTCGATGTGTCGATTTTTTTACTTTTTCGATTTTTCAATTTTTCGATTTTTAAATTTTACATTTTTTAATTTTTAAAATTTAAAATTTTTCGATTTCTCGATTTTTCATTTCAGTTTCGATATTTTAATTTTTCAAGTTTTCGAATTTTTCAAATGTTTCGATTTCTTAGTCTTTTGGTTTTTCGACTTCCCGGTTTTAGTTTTTCTGTTTTTCAATTGTCATTTTGTTAAATTTTCGATTTTTTAATTTTTCAAATTTGACTTTCATAAACTCTCAATTTTTCGATTTTTCAGTTAATCGATATTTTGATTTTCCCATTTCTTGACCTTCGAGTGTTTCGATTTTCTTGTTCTTCAATTCTTTAATTTTTTGATTTTTCAAGTTTTCGATTTTTCAATTTTTAGATATTTTCGTTTAGAAATTTTCAATATTTCAATTTTTTGGCTTTTCTATTTTTAACTTCTGGGTTTTTCGTGGTGTCTACCTTTTCACTTTTTCGATTTTTCAATTTTTGGATTTTTAAATTTTAGATTTTTCAATCTCTTGAAATTTTAATTTTCCAATATTTCTTAATCTTTCTATTTTTCGACTTCCTGGTTTTAGATGTTCTGTTTTTCAATTTTTCGATTTGTTAATTTTTCATTCCCGATTTATGGAGATTTGATTGTTCAGGTTTTCGATTTATCATTTTTTCATTTTTTTATTTTGGCCTATTTCGGTTTCTCAGTTTTTCCAGTTTTCCATTTTTTCGTTTATTGATTTTTCCTCTTTTCCAATTTTTCAACTTTTAACTTTTTGTTTGTCGATTTCTCTATTTTTCGATTTCATTACTTTTCGATTTCTCGTTCTTTGGATCTTTCAGTCTCTCAATTTTTCAATTTTTCGAATTTTTAAGTTTTGTGATTTTCGATATTTTGATTATCAATTTCTCAATTTTTAAAATTGTTCAATTTTTAACTTTTCGATTTTTCGGTTTTTGATCTATTTCGTTTTCTCAATTTTCGACTCTACGATTTCTTGATCTTTTGATTTTTCGATTTCTCAGTTTTTCGAATTTCCAGTTATTCGATATTTCGATTTTTCAATGTTTCGTATTTCGATTACTAGATTTCTCGATTTTTCGATTATTTTAATTTTTCATATTTTTTTTCCTCACTGTTAATATCATACAGTATATCGAAAACAACCACAAAAATTGTCACTAAAAACATTAAAAAAAAAATTCATACAAAATAGAACACAGTGTTTCCAAAACGTTTTCCCGAAAAAAATCCATTGGGTTATTACGATTTCAACAATATTCTTGGTTTGAGACGTTTTGCAAGTATAAAACACACATAAAGAATTAATTCTTAGTTAAACTAAATATGTACCAAAAATATTCACTTAATTTAGTCGTTATAAAAACCGACCAAACAACTATGTCCGGCAGAAATTATAGTCTAACCAACCAAATCGCTTCTGAACGCTTAGAGTCGACATTGGCCTGAGTGCCCTCTGGTCTGTAAATCAAACAAGTTCTCAAGCGACGAGTTGCAGTGAATCAAGTTTTTTTGTTGGCATCGACTATTTAAATTTGGCGCTTCCCTTTGGCGGTTGAGGACTCCAATGTCAATAAGGGTGCTTTTGCAAAATCAGCCTGTATGTCGTATCTATATTAATCTATGACCACACGTTAATTGTCAACATAACCTCTAAAATGACAGAATCAAAGATATTTGAAATTCTTCTTCAAAAACAGTATGATTTTCCTAAACTTCACTCGGAAGCAGCCTTCACAGTGGCAAATAGTTTTGCGGACGTAATTTACGACACTTTAAAATTAAAATCAAGTTTGCCTACAGCCAAAAGATTCAGCGTTCTTGTAAGTAGTGATTTATGTATCACTCGATAGAAGCTTTATACCCATTTTCAGAAATTTCTTAAAACTTTGGCATCAAGTTCTGATACCCACTTGAGCGTAAACGAGCATAATTATCAAACATTCATTGAGGCATGTACACATTCTGAAAACGAAAATGATCAACATTTTTTAAATGATGTTAGCAAGGAACTACAAGAGCAGCTACCAGGAGACTTATGTAGTGAAGTGTTAGAATTTTACAAAAGAAAAAACGAAAAGCACCAGAAAAATATAAAGCGAATGGGTAAGATAAGAATACATGTTTTGTTTATTTTTCATTATTTTTCTAATTTTTTTTATAGAGTTAGTTAAAAAATTTGACCAGGAAGCGCTTGACAAGGCACACTTTTCTGGAAGAATTACGAGAAATATCTCATATTATGAAACCAGTGAAAATGTTATTAAAAAACTCCTTCACAGTGAAGAACTGCCAAATATAAAAATAAGTGAAGTGGACTCAACTGACTTAACATATAGGACAAAACAAGTGAAATTTGCGTATAGTTTACTGTATCTAAAACAATGGACTCCTTTGAAGACAGTTTTAGACAGATTTGTAAACTACAAAACATTAACAAATTATGAAATTAATTTTTTAAACTATTTAAATGAAAACGTGGGTAGTGGAGGTGAACATTTACGCGAATTTGTGATAACAAACTTTATGTTTGTATATGAAAAAAGTCTGATAGAAATGTGTACAAAAATAATCCAGTTGGAAGGTGATCAAGTGTTGGATTACTTTGAAACCCTGCTCATTGATAAAAATTACGTAATTATTAAACAACTGTGTGAAAATGAATGTTTTAAACACAAAATGAAAACCGCCTTGTTTGAACTGTATTCTTACAGCTTTTGTAATACCAATTTGTTAAAATTCATCGATTTTTTGTTACAATAATAAATTCAAACAATTTCCACCACCTTGCCTTTGTCGGTAATATCAATTTCTTCCCAATGCAAAATTGACAGTTCACCGGATTAAACATGGCGTCCATCCTCAAATTGTCCAAATCCGTGGCAAAATTATCAAAAAATGGAAACATAATACAGGTAATTCGTTATAATTTGGTGAACGAAAAACTCTTATCGTTGTTAAAATGCACACGTAATTTAGTTGGTTCAAATTATGTAATTAAGACATTCGTTACGTAAGATAACCAACAAATGCATTTCAGGCTACTAAAACTTTACGAAACGCATCAACTGCTGCCGAACAGAAGCATGTTGTGCTGAATGTACCTCCTACAAATGTTACCACATTAGATTCAGGTATATTTTGTTCTGCTAGAGGTCAAGAGTTGAGGTTAACAAGCGTGTTTTAGGTATTAGGGTAGCTACCGAAGATTGGGGCTCACATACTGCCACGGTCGGGATTTGGATTGACGCAGGCAGTCGGTATGAGAACGCGAAGAATAATGGAGTTGCCCACTTCATGGAACATATGGCTTTTAAGGTTAGTGGCGAGAGTTTATAACAAAAAAAAAAAACTTTAAAATGTGTTGATTACTTAGTGATTCAGTAAAAATATGGCAAAATATAGTTTCATGAAATATATAATGATATTTTTCATAGAAGTGGTTTAAACACAAATTTGTCTGTTATTCCATAGTTCACAAAAAACATGATTAAAGATAGCCATGGATATTTGAAAGTGTGTCTTTGATTGTTGCATTTTTAATTCCAAATTCAGTTGGACAGGAATGTGACAAGACAAAAATTCTATCAAAGACAAATCTTCAAAAATGCCTTTGATTTTGTTTATTATTGGTCTCCCTGTATATGATGTTGAAGGAAAAGAATAGTATATTATTAGCCAAGGTTGCAGAGCCAAGCATTCTAGACCGAGCGCAAATTAGAACCCGAGACGCGCAGCGTCGAGGGCTCTAAGGGCGAGGTCTAGAAGTGGCTTTGCAACCGTGGTTAATGTACTATTTTTTTCACTAGTAGAAACCATAAGACAATAAACTGAAAAATAAACGTTCAATTTTTTGACACAACATGATTTTGTTTTGATTTCTAATCAAACTTAATCTAAATCTTCAACACAAAGAAAACCGTTTATATTTGTCGCTGAGTTAATCATTTTATCTTGTACCATCTACCAACTACCATGCGTATACTCAAGTAATGTTTGTAGCACACATTTGTTCATTTTTTAAGAAATAATCACATCAAACATTGCGTACATAACCTCAATTTTTCTTTTTGAACCGGTGGTAGCAAAAGTTGAATTTGCTACCACTAAATGAGTCGACATTTGCATGCGTCCAGGCTGCTAGTGAAAAAGATATTTTCAGCATTATCTATGTATAAATTGATTTTATGACAGTTTCCTATTGCTTCTCTTGCGAAATATTCCAATGGGGTTATATAACTTGTAGAATACGATTGTGTAAGTTTCTCGTTTGTAGGTGTATATCGTTTATATTTCGTTGTGTGCATATTGTATGTCGTAATTATTGAGCGTGATATTTTCGGAAAAAAAAATCAGTGATTGAAAGAAAAAACGAAATTTTGTTGTTTTCTTTTTAGTTTTTCATTCATTTGGAATTAAAGTTGTAGCAAGAAAAAATATTTTCATTTACGTTGCTAAGCATTAGTAGTGTTATTTATATCTTATATATCTTATTGAGGACCCGGGGTGGGCTAGTTAGCATCATGCTTGCCCGCTACACCTTGGGTCGTGGGTTCGATTCCCGCCATGGCTCTGGGTGTAACGTGTATGTCCCGTTCCCCTGTAATTGGGCCTCAGTGCCTGTTGGGGGACGTAATTAATAAAATAAAAAAATAAAATAAATAAATAAATATCTACAAAATTTATTTGAATATTTTTTAATTAATGTTAAGTTATACCTGTTCTTAAAATAAAAATTTGGTCTAGGGCAGTACATAAAATTTTCCTCGCCCCTGAAGTCCAGTCCAACAATTACATTTTCTTCGAAAAATAAAAACATCATTTCGTGATTTTTATTTTATTTTTTATGATAATTTAAAAAAGTTGAGGCGAATTCATAAACCACAATATGTATATTAAGACTAAATTTTTTTGATACCACAACAAAATGCGTACCTTTGTTTATATCTCTCCAAAATATTGTAATACAGACGTTAAAAATTTTGTGTATCTATACATATATTGCAAAAAAAAATGGGATTACGTGGCAACGTCGTATCCGAATTTTGAAAATAAATGGTTATAAGTTCCAAGAAGACGCCAATCAGAATATGTGAAAATGTATAGGATATTTCATTAAAAAAAGAATCGTCGATAAAGAAATATTTTTCTCAAAAAATATACAAAATGTAAGTACATAAAATTTTTGAAAAGTGTAACAATTTTATTTTTCTCATTTATGCTGCAATTAAATTATTGGAGAAGTAAATTTATTGGATTTCGTTTTCTAGGATTTAATAAGTGTATTTTCTTTCATATTGGCGAATAAAATTATGGACTGGTATCAAGTTTAGAAGCTGCAATTTTCGTAAATTCAATAGATTACGTTTTCTCGACCTTTCATGATCCCTAGAGTACGAAAAAATAAGTCTCCCGTTTACGTCTGTCTGTTGGTCTGTCTGTCTGTCTGTCCGTCCGTCCGTCCGTCTGTCCGTCTGCCGTTCCGATTTTTATTAGACAGATAATCTCCGATCTTAGAATATTTCGATTTTTAATTTTTCACTTTTTCGATATTTCAGTGTTACAGTTTTTCGATTTTACAATGTTAGCGATTCTATAACTTTTCCATGTTACAATTTTTGGGTTTTCCAATTTTTTTATTCGATTGGTGTTTGCTTCTTTCCACATTTTCGATTCATTATTTTTTTTTTATTTTTAAGTTTCCCGATTTTTAGTTTTTCCATGTTTCAATTTTCAAACCAATTTTCTTCTAAAATTGAAAAATCAAAAATGAGAAAACGAAAGGCATAAACTGAAAATTTTGAAAAATCTAAAAATGAAAATCAAGAATTTAAAAATTAAAGATATCAGAAAATCGGACAATTGAGAAATCCAAACATCGCAAAAAAGTGGAAAAATCGGTTAGTTGAAAAATCGAAGATTGAAAACTTTAAAAATTGAGTAAACAAAAAATTTAAAACCGAAAGAAACATTGAAAAAATAAAGGAAAAGAAAAAATGAAAAATTGTGATCGAGAAAATAAAAATTAAAAAATCGGGAAAATAAAAATAAAAATTTGTCGAAAGTTGTTTCGACAGAACTTCCCTCGCTCCTAAAGTACAGTGATACATATCCAGCATTGTCGAATATTTATTTATTTATGTTTATACATCGAAAGAATGTCACGTAGAAATTAGTATGATTTGAATGGAACCACAGTCGAACAAAATGATCTGAATAGTATAACTCTTATTATTATTATAAAGACGAGTTTTTCACATTTTCGAGGAAATGGAGTGACTCGTTCTTAATTTGACCAATATGAAATTGGTAATGAAGTGATCAACATGATACTAGTCACAGTACAAAAGAAAAGTAGTCACAGCGTATTACCAATGCAAGAAAAAAAAACGGCCAACTTCGGCATCGAACCACTACTGCAATGTCGTACGAATTCGCTGAACTTGGAATTATTTTTGCGAAAATTTGAACGTTTAGTGAAAAAATTAAAAGCGGATTCGTGCACTACAAATATAGGAGTATATTTTTATATAACCTTAAAATTATTTTAAAATACAATTCAATGAAATGACGTCATCAAATTGTTGGTGGGGGTGATTATCTAAATTTTGGGGTAGTATTTAACCATCTGCAAATGAAAAAACAAAAAAAATAAAACATTGAAAAATTGCAAATCGAAAAATTTAAGAAACGCGAAACTGAATATTTTAAAATTGGAAAACCAAAAAAATAAAATCAAAACACATAAAAATCGAATAAGTGAAAAAATGACGAAAATAAAAAACCGAAAAATTGCAAAATATAAACATTGAAAAAAATAAAACTCAGTGAAATGAAGACATGAAGTGGGCGGAGCTGAGTTTAGGTTTTTCTGAAAAGTTTTATAAACAAACAGTAGCTCCGCCCACGGACCCCCTCTTCATTCCAGTGACTACTCTTAATATTATTCAATTTTATCTTGCCAAGTACTAGCCCCGCCCACCCACCCTCTATTCTTCTAGAGAGTATATGATTTGCCAAATTAGTTTTATCTTAGAATGTATACGAAGCCCGCCCACCCACCCTCATCTTCTTACAGGGTATGTGATTTGTTAAAGTCAGTCTTATCTTAGCAAGTACTAACAAAAAATTAAAAATTGAAAAATTGCAAATAGAAAAATTGCAAAATCTGAAAACTGAAACATTCAGAAATTGGAAAATCGAAAAACTGAAAAATTTTAAAATGAAAATTCGAAGAATCGCTTATCTTAAAAATGAAAAAACAAAAAATGAAAAATTGAAAATCGAAAAATTGAAGAAACGAGAAACTGAAAAAATTAAAATTGAAAAAACAAAAATAAAATCGAAATATTGAAAAATCGAATAACTGAAAAAATAACGAAAATAAAAAACCGAAAATTGCAAAATATAAAAATTGAAAACCAAGTCAGTGAAATGAAGACAAGAAGTGGGCGGAGCTGAGTTTAGGTTTTTATAAAGGGCTTTATAAGCAAACAGTAGCTCCGCCCACCGACCCCCTCTTCATTCCAGTGGCTACTCTTAATATCATATCTTGATAAGTACTAGCCCCACCCACCCACCCTCTATTTTCTTAGAGGGTATATGATTTGCCAAAATTAGTTTTGTCTTAACATGTACTAGCCCCGTCCGCCCACCCTCTATCTTCTTAGAGGGTACGTGATTTGCCAAAATTAGTTTTATCTTAGCATGTACTAATATACATAGAGAATTTCACAACAATCAGTCAGCAGTTTCCGAGATTACTTGTCTATTAATAAAAATGGATACAGACACCAGACAGACGGACGGAAACGAAGACTACTTTTTTCGTACTGTAGGGGTCATGAAACATCGAGAAAACATAAATGTGGCACTAAATTGACAAACTAAAAAATCGAAAAATGAAAAATTGTAATATCGAAGAATTGTAAAATTGAAAAATTCCAAAAGAAACATTTGAAAATTTTGGAAGTCGATACATTGAAAAATTGCATATCGAGTAATAATTAACGAAACGATAAGTTGAAAAATCGAAAAATTAAGTCTAGAAAATGGAAAAATTGAGAAATATGAAATTGAGTAATCGAAAAGATTAAAAATCGAAAGACGAGAAACTGAGAAAGAAAAAATTGAAGAAACGAAAAATTGAAAAATCGAATAATAATTGGAAAATTCAAAAATTGATACCTAATCAAGTGAAATATTTGTAAAGGAAAACCCTAAAAATTGTACATCCAAAGTTATAAAATCGAAAAATATCAGAATGAAAAACCGATGTTATTTCTTCAACTGTTCCCGTTGTTTCTTTGAAAAATCGAAAGATTGGGAAACGAAAAATTGAAGAAACCAGAAATTGAAGAATAAATTAATAATTTTTCGAAAATGCTTGATATGTCTCATTGTACAATCGCACGCAAATGTTTTGAGCCTATGGGCGGATCGTTTTTGCCTGCCCTCACCGAAGAAGGCGGTCCAAATCCTTCAAGGGCAGAATTTGTAGGTAGGCTCAAACTACAACGAAATTCACATTTTACCCTATAAAATTTTATTGACAATAACGGGACGGACAGTAGTTATTTGATAAGAAATATTTATGGCTCACACCAGTTCTCACGAATTTGTCGGAGAAGATTTAGCAAAATAATGGTTACTTTCGTTCGTGAGTAACCATAGTCCGGACATGAATTATTTTGCTTTCTAACATCTTTCGACCAATTGTTCCGTATAAAAAATTTCATCACTTTTTCAAATAAAATACTCTTAAAAAAAACGATATTGTCGTTGAGTGACATGTAACTGGCATAATAATAAAAACGTGCCATTTTTGTTAACTGATATTTTTTTCATAAATGTCGCAAAATTATTAAATTTGTCTAATCATCCCCACCAATAATGTGATGACGTCACTTCAAATTTATGCATAGTAAATGGGTTTTAAATTGTATACAGTAACATAGTCCTACACATGTAGTTTATGACTCCGTGTTGAGTTTTTATCCAAAACGTCCAAATTTTTGGAAAAAAAAATCAAAATTATAAATCAAATATGCGCAAAATCAAAAATCGGAAAAACTGAAAATGGCTAATCAAAAAATCGAAAATTCAATGAATCAAACCTAGGTCGATCGAAAAGTGGAAATTCACAAACCTCAAAAATCGAAAAATCGAAAATTGAAAAACGGGAAAACCAAAAAATCGAAAAGTCAAAAATTTGTAATATTGAAAATTAAAAAAATCAAAAACAAAAATAAAAAAATCGGAAATTAAAATAATCAAAATATATTAAGTAAAAAAAATTGCAAAGCCTAAAAACTGAAACGAACAGAAAAATCGAAAAAACAAAAAATTGGAAAAACAAAAATTCGAAAAATCTAAAATCGAAAAAGTGGAAAATGGAAAATCTGAATAAAGAAACTTGAAAATTCTGAAAATTGGAAAATCGAAAACCAAAAAATCGGAAAGTAACAAAATTGAAGTCTAGTTGAGAATGGAAAAATTGGAAAACCGAAAATTCTAAAAATCGACAATGGACAAATTGAAAATCGCAAAATTTAAATTGAAAAATTGAACATAGAAAAATTGATGAATTGAAAAATCGAAAATTCGACTACTCAAATTTTCTAAAAATCGAAAAATCATAAAACTGAAAAATCCAAAATTCTAATCATCGAAAGTCTGAAAACTGAAAATCGAAAATTCTGAAAAGCGGAAAATAGAATATCGAAAAATTTAAAAGAAAGAAAATTGAAGTCTAAAAACCGAAGAATGGAAAAATTAAAAATCAAAAATTCGAAAAATCAAAACCGAAAAGTTCAAAGATTTAAAAAGGAAAATCGAAAAATCAAGAATCTGAAAATTGAAACTCAAATTCGGAAAATCGAAAAGTAAAAAAATTGAAGTCTAAAAGCTGAAGAATGGAAAACTGAACAATCGAAAATTCGAAAATCAAATATCGAAAAATCGAAAATTTGATGAATCAGATATGCGAAAAACAGAAAATCTGAAAATACAAAACTGAAAAACCGAAAATCTAAAAATGGAAAAACCGAAAATCGAAAATTCAATGAATATAATACGTAGGTCGATCGAAAAACCGGAAATTCACAAATCTGAAAAATCGGAAATTTGCAAGATTGAAAAACCGAAAATTGAAAAATCAAAAAACCGAAAAATGGAAAATTCAAAAATCGAAAAATAGGAAAACCGAAAATTCGAAAATTCATAATATTGAAAACTCTAATAGTCGACAATTCAAAAATTGAAAAGTAAACAAATTTCAAAGCCTAAAAAGTGACGAACAGAAAAATCGAAAACTCGTAAAATCATAAAGTGGAAAACCGAAAAATCGAAAAATTAAAAAATCGGAAATCGAAAAATGAAAAAAAAAACGAAAATTCAAAAATCGAAAAATTAAAAAAAAAACGAAAACTATCTAAAAATGGAAAAATCGAAATGCTCAAAAATCGAAAATTCGATTAATCAATATTCTAAAAATCGAAAAAACGGACACAAATCCACAAATCTGAAAAATCGAAAATCGAAATATCAAGACTCGAAAAATTAAAAAACCGAAAAATTGAAAAATCCCAAATCGAAAAATGAAAAAACCAAAAATTCAAAAATCAAACTATCGGAAAGTAAAATAATCGAAAAATGGAAAAATAAAACAAATCGCAGAACCATAAAAACTGAAACAAACAGGAAAATCGAAAAACCACAAAATCGGAAAAACGAAAATCGAAAAATCGCAAATCGAAAAATCGCAAATCGAAAAATCGCAAATCGAAAAATCGCAAATCGAAAAATCGTAAAATCAGAACATGGAAAATCGAATACTCGAAAATTGAAAAATCGAAGGTCAAAATAATCGAAAAATGGAAAAATAAAACAAATCGCAGAACCATAAAAACTGAAACAAACAGGAAAATCGAAAAACCACAAAATCGGAAAAACGAAAATCGAAAAATCGCAAATCGAAAAATCGCAAATCGAAAAATCGTAAAATCAGAACATGGAAAATCGAATACTCGAAAATTGAAAAATCGAAGGTCGAAAAATAAAAAAACCGAAAAATCGAAAAATTTAATGATTAATGGAAAATCGAAAAATCGAGAATAGAAGAATTAAAAAACCGGAAAACTGAAAAATCGGAAATCGAAGAATTAAAAACGTAAAATCGAAAATTCAAAAATCAAAAAAATCGGAAAGTAAAATATAATCGAAAAATGCAAAAAAATTGCAGCAAACTCTAAAAACTGACCAGCAGAAAAATCAACAAATCGAAAAACGGAAAACCGAAAACTCGAAAATTCAAAATACCGCAAATTTGAAAAATCGCAAAATGGGAAAGTAAAAAATCGAAAAGTTGATAGAAAAATGGAAACTGAAAAATCTAATTAGATGAAACGGTTGGTCGAAAAAACGAAAAATCGAAAATAGAAGTGATCTTTTTTTGAGACAGCCTGTAGAAGTAAATCTAAAAAATATTACTGCAATGATAAATCACAGGTACTGACTCATCATATCAAATTTTGCCATGACGTCATGCATTTTTTGGCGAAGATAAGCAAATACATTTTGATCGTGGCTTTGAAAGTATTCTTCGACTTTCGTTCCATTTCAAAATTTACTCTTTATATATTTCAGTGGTTACAACGAGTTCACTAACTACGCTGAAGTAAGCGAAGATTAAATTTGTGAAGTTTATAAACTGAACATTTTTTTTGTTTTTTGAAATGTAGTACACTTCAATAAAATAAATTTACTCAGTCATTTTTTTTGAGTCACCCTGTCTGTATAAACAAATCCAAAAAATATAAATGGAATGGTAAATCACAAGTATAGACTCATCATATTCTGAACATTTTAGATAGGGTATTTATAAAATTAAAACTAATTCAGAGTAAGAATTTGGTCAACACAAATTTCGTTGTAGTTTGAGCCTACCTACAAATTCTGCCCTTGGACGATTTGTACCGCCTCCTTCGGTGACGACCGGCAAAAATGATCCGCCCATAGGCTCAAAACATTTGCGTGCGATTGTACGAGGGAAGTTCTGTCGAAACAACTTTCGACCAATTTTTATTAGATATATTACATTTTATATGTATGTTAGGAACATCGTGTAAATGATAAAACGCTAACCAAAATTTATCTAATCATCTCCGCCAATAATTCGATGAAAAATTGTGCAGGAACATTTTGCGTAGATAAGGTGACCTAAATTTTTTGAAATGACACTCCTATACGCGTGGTTTATGAATCCGCCTGAATTTCTAGCGTTTAAACGATTGATTTATTTTGAATAGGACTCGGGCTAATGCAATATGACACTCGTCAGTAATAAAGAATGTCTTTATTATATAGAAACATAAATACGTTCAACAGTTTACTAGTTGACCTGAAATTTATTAGTTGACGAGAAACATTTTTCGTTTTTAGGGGACAGGCAAAAGAAACCAAACCCAACTCGAGATCGAAATCGAAGACATGGGCGCCCAACTCAACGCCTACACCAGCCGGGAGCAAACAGTCTACTATTCCAAATGCCTCTCCAAAGACGTACCCAAAGCCATCGAAATCCTGGGCGACATCGTCCAAAACGCCAAACTCGGCGAGGCCGAGATCGAACGCGAACGCAGCGTCATCCTCCGCGAGATGCAAGAAGTGGAATCCAACCTCCAGGAAGTCGTCTTCGACCATTTGCACGCCATCGCCTACCAAGGCACACCGTTGGCCAACACCATCCTTGGACCTACAGCCAACATTCGTTCCATTAACGCCAACGACTTGAGGTGCTACCTCGATAACCACTACAAAGCCTGTCGAATCGTCGTCGCGGGAGCCGGAGGGGTCAACCACGACGAGTTGGTCAAGTTGTGCCAGCAGCACTTGGGGAAACTGAGTAAGTGAGGGTGATTACGGGTGTTGGGGATTCTATTTTTTTTTTTTTTTGTGAAGACAACACCTACCCGGATGAGATCCCGATTTTGGCTCCGTGCAGGTTCACGGGTTCCGAAATTCGTGTCCGGGATGACTCGCTTCCGTTGGCTCATATCGCGATAGCTGTGGAAGGTGCGGGATGGACGGACCCAGATACCTTGACTTTGATGGTAGCGTCGACTTTGTTGGGTGCGTGGGATAGGTCCCAGGCTTCGGCGAAGCAGAATGCCACTACTTTGGCTAGAGCTAGTGCGGAGGGTGAACTCTGCCACTCGTACCAAAGCTTCAACACCTGCTACAAGGTATACCATAACTCTTAACTCTTAAAACAGTTGTTTATTGCTTGTATCTATTATTCTACGTAGGACACTGGTCTCTGGGGCATTTACTTCGTCTCTGACCCCCTGAAGATCGAAGATATGGTCTACAACATCCAGGAAGAACTGATGAGGTTGGCAACCAGCGTGACGGAAGGCGAAGTAGAGCGGGCCAAGGCTCTCTTGACAGCAAATACTCTTCTGCAATTGGACACTTCTACCGCGGTTTGCGAAGATATCGGACGGCAGTTGTTGTGTTATGGAAGGAGGTTGCCTCCTCATGAGTTGAGTCATAGAATTAACTCAATAACTGCCCAGAACGTCAGAGATGTGTGCTACAAGTACATTTATGATAGATGTCCAGCGGTTGCAGCAGTAGGACCTGTGGAACAATTGCCCGATTACAATAGGATTCGCAGCTCCATGTACTGGTTGCGTGTCTAAATTTATTTATCATCTAAATTAATTCAGATAGTAAGTATTGTTCACGAGAAAAATTGAAATGTAAATAAGTGTCAAGAAGATTTCGTTCCGTTTTTGTTAATTTAATAAATGTTCACAACCTGAGGGGTGTGTTTTTTTATCTGGTTTCTCGATTTTTGAGGACTTGAATCCATCAACGTCGCAATTTCTCCCTTTAATATAAGCGGCAACGTGGCTACGAATTTTAAGGGAAAAGGAAAACAAGGTTAGGTGAAGGTGAATTTACTTGTTTTGTGACATCTGTCAGTTCCTGAATTAAAATATCGAAAATAAGCGTAAAATGTAAGAAGCGAGAACACGAGAAAGTGCATTGAAAAATACAGATCACGAAGTTATTTGTGAGAATAGCCATATGTGCTGACGTATTTTCTAACTCCTAATCTTCCAGCTCGTGATAGCGTCTAAGACATCGTTACGACTAGTGGAGTCTGAATTTCAACCGAATTTATAATTATTGATGGAATATATTTGTGGCGGCCATTTTGGATAATTTTTTCAGAGTATTATAGAATTCAGATTTCTTGCGACTGCCACGACTTTTAGTTGAAATCAATTTGTGCCCAGTATTAAATGTATGTAATATACAACATACAGTAGTGTTAGATATCTAAAATGATTGTGTATAAAATGTTAAACTTTTAATTTTACACACAAAAATTTTGGAATGTTTTTCTTTTAAATTGCCATTTAGTTAAATGTGGTGCCAGACTCTTCAATACCTTACAGTTTATTAACGCATCTTTTAATTTTTTGTTTAATAAATTTGTTTGCGAGGTTTGCTTCAATTTTGATTTTCATTCTTGGTGCTTGCGTAAAATTTTGTTTTGACTTGACCATCAAAGTCTTTATAAGTAAGGTCTGCATATGGTAGTAGCATAGATTAATATAAATGCGACATACAGGCTGATTTTGCAAAACCACCCTTACTGACATTGTAGTCCTCAACCGCCAAAGGCAAGCGCCAAATTTAAATAGTCGATGCCAATAAAAAAAATTGACTCACTACAACTCGTCGCCTGAGAACTTGTTTGATTTACAGACCAGAGCGCGCTCAGGCCAATGTCGACTCTAAGCGTTCAGAAGCGATTTGGTTGGTTTAGAGTATAATTTCTGCGGGGAATAGTTGTTTGGTCGGTTTTTATAACGACTAAGTGAATATTTTTGGTACACATTTAGTTTAACTAAGAATGAATTCTTTATTTGTGTTTTATTCTAGCAAGACGTCTTAGGCCCGGTTTAGGGTTTATAGGACGTCGTGTTAAATTTTAACAGTGAGTTAAGTTAACTCGCATTCCCATTGGCTGAAGTACCTGGTTTTGACCAATGAGATGTCAGCATTTCAAATTAACTGGATGTTAAAATTTAACACGCAATTAAATATTTAACTCGCGTTCTATAAACCGGCGTTATCGAAATATCGAAGAACTAAAAAATCGAAATATCCAAGAACTAAAAAATCGAAACATCGAAACACTGAGAAATCGAAAAATCAAAAGATCAAAAAATCGTGGAGTCGAAAAGTCGGAACAATTGAGAAACCGAAATAGGTCAAAATCGAAAAATCGAAAAGTTAAAAATTGAACAATTTATAAATTGGGAAATTGACAATCAAAATGTCGAAATATCTAAATCTCAATAAATTGAGAAATCAAAAAACTTAAAATTCGAAAAATTGAAAAATTGAGAAATTGAAAGATCCAGAGAACGAGAAATCGAAAAGTGATGAAGTCGAAAAATAGAGAAATCGACAAACAAAAGTTGAAAAATTGGAAAAGCAGAAAAATCAAAAAACGAAAAAATGGAAAACTGGAAAAACTGAGAAACCAAAATAGGCCAAAATAAAAAATTGAAAAATGATAAATCGAAAACCTGAACAATCAAATCTCGATAAATCGGGAATCAAAAATTAACAAATCGAAAAATTGGAAAACAGAACATCTAAAACCAGGAAGTCGAAAAACAGAAAGATTAAGATATATTGAAAAATTAAAATTTTAAAACATTGAAAAATCTAAAATTTAAAAATCCAAAAATTGAAAAATCGAAAAAGTAAAAAGGTTGACACATCGAAAAACCCAGAAGTCAAAAATAGAAAAGCCGAAGAATTGAAATATTGAAAAATCCTAAAACTGAAAAATCGGAAAATCAAAAAGTGAAATCGAAAAATAGAAACCTTAAAAAATCGAAAAATTGAAAAATCAAAAACCTGAAAAATAAAAAAAATTAAAGAATTGAAGAACAGGAAAATCGAAACACTCGAAGGTCAAGAAATGGGAAAATTGGGAGTTTATAAAAGTCAAACTTGAAAGATTAAAAAATCGAAAATTTGACAAAATGACAATCGAAAAACAGAAAATTTAAAACCGGGAAGTCGAAAAATCAAAAGATTAAGAAATCGAAACATTTGAAAAAAACGAAAACTTGAAAAATTGAAATATCGAAGAACTGGAACGAAAAGTCGAGAAATCGAAAAATCTAAAATTTTAAAAATTAAAAAATCTAAAATTTAAAATTTGAAAAATTGAAAAATCGAAAAAGTAAAAAATCGACACATCGAAAAATCCAGGAGTCAAAAATCGAAGTCCAAGAATCGAAATATTGAAAAATCCCAAAACTGAACTATCGAAAAACTGAAAAATGAAAGAAAAACTAAAAATGGAAAACTAAATCGAGAAATCAAAACATTGAAAAATCGAAAAATTTAAAACAACAATTGAGAATAGAAAATATAAAACCGGAAAATCGAAAGATTAAGCAATCGAAAAATTGAAAAATCGAAAAAGTAAAAAATCGACACATCGAAAACTCGAGAAGCCAAAAATCGAAAAGTCCAAGAATCAAAATATTGAAAAATCCCAAAGCTGGAATATCGAAAAACTGAAAAATGAAAAAAACACTGAAAAATGGAAAACCTGAAAAATCCGAAAACTGAAATATCCAAAAACTGAGGACCTAAAAAGTCAGAAAATTGAGCAATAGAAAAATCCAAAAAGTGGAGTCGAAAAATTGAAACCTTAAAAAAATTTAAAAATAAAATATCAGAAACCTAAAAAATCGAAAAATTAAAGAATTGAAGAACAGGAATATCGAAACCCTGGAAAGTCAAGAAATGGGAAAATCAAAACATCGATTAATTGGAAAATCGAAAAATTGACAGTTTATAAATGTCAAATTTGAAAAATTGAAAAATCGAAAATTTGAAAAAACGACAATTGAAAAACAGAAATTCTAAAGCTGGGAAGTCGAAAAATCGATTGATTAAGGAATCAAAACATTTGAAAAATTCGAAAATTTGAAAAATTAAAATATCGAAAAATTGAAAAATCCAAAACTTAAAAATCGAAAAATTGAAAAAACGACAATTGAAAAGCAGAAAATCTAAAACCGCGAAGTCGAAAAATCGAAAGATTTAGAAATCGAAACATTTGAAAAATTGAAATATGGAAGAGCTGAAACGAAAAATCCAGAAATCGAAAAATCTAAAATTTTAAATATTGAAAAATTAAAATACCAAAAAATTGAGAAATCTAAAATTTAAAAATTGAAAAAGTAAAATGTCGACACATCTAAAAATCCAGAAGTCAAAAATGGAAAAGTCGAAGAACAGAAATATTGAAAAATACCAAAACCGAAATATTGAAAAACTGAAAAATGAAAGAAAAAGTGACGAATCGAAAAACTAAAAAATCCCAAAACTGAAATATCCAAAAAGAATCTAAAGAATCGAAAAATTGAGAAATCGAAAATTCGAAACCTTATAGAAATCGAAAAATTGAAAAATCAAAAACCTGCAAAATCGTAAGATCCAAAAATTGAATAATAAGTAAACTGAAAAATCCCAAAACTGAAATGTCCAAAAACTGAGAAATTAAAAAATTGAAAAATTGAGAAATCGAAAAATTAAAAAAGTGAAGTTCAAAAATCGAAATCTGAAAAAATAGAAATATTGAAAAATCAAAAAACCTGAAAAATCAATTAATTGAAAAATCGACAAATAAAGATTTTATAAAAGTAAAAAATTGAAAAATCGAAATATTTAAAAATCGAAAAATTGAAGAGAAAAACTGAAAACCGAGAAATTGAAAAATTGAGAAATTGTATAATCCAAAAATTGAAAAATAAATAGGAGTGAACTGAAAAGTCCCCAAACTAAAATTTCGAAAAACTGAGAATTAGAAAGTTGAAACAGCAGAAATTATGGTCGAAACCGGTTAGGATGTGTATCAGATCACGGATCATGGCTTATAAATCAAATTGTTTCCGAATGCTTAGAGTCGAAAACAAAGCAAAATCTGAAATAAAGTAACTGGATGCAAATACACAAGTTGTTACAGGCGTGTGGCAGCAAATTTATATTATGGTAGTCAACAAGAGCACAAAATTTTAATAAACAAATTATGCAGCCGCAGCGGTTCCAGAGCGCTATAAGAGTGTGCCGATCGAACTGTGTCAATTTCATTCTAGAGCACAACAAAATACTCATAGGAGCGGAGTTTGGGACTCCCGGTCGTGGCTGTTCTCCCCCACGCCGTAAAGCAATTCTCTGGTACGGACAAACCGTACGAGTAGGCCGTTACGGTCGCAAACTCGCAGTTGGGTCGCGGCTATGGGGTAGAAGCCGACAGCGTTACGTCATTTCGACCTGCGTCTTTTGTACAGATGGCGCGATAAATCCCTCCAGTTCGACTAAGAACCGCGCACTCCACTTCCACCACGTGTTTCTGCGTTATTTAACCTCAATTCCATGTTCAATTCTTATAACTCTAATATTAACGACAACTGAACAAGTGTTAAAGTTTCAAAAGAGCAATAAACAACATTTAAATTCGCCATACAATCTTTGGGCATCAGATAATTTATATGATGGAAAGAAACATTCATCAACAAAATATTTACATTAAAAAACTCGCCAAGAGTTATAAAAACAAAAGATCTGGTGTGAAATAAAACTTGTGTAGACAAAAATATTACGTGAGGTTAGAACCTGCAGAGCATGAAAATTTACCTTCAATTTAAATTATACAATAAAGAAAATTACTGAAGTTAAAATTGTGAGATAGAGAAAAATTGTATGAGGTGAAAAATTGCAAAACTAACAAATTTACACGAAATTAATTATCTTTAATCCCCCCCGATATGATATTTTGAACTCTGCTGCACTTTTCTACCGTCTTTTTCCACAGTGGGACAACGGTGGGTTAATTCAACTGCCGTAAATAAACTAATGGCAATCTTGTGTGAAGAATTAAGAAGTGTTATAATGTAACACTTAAAAGTATGCATCCAAAAACTTATTTAAAATTTGACAAACAAAATCAAACCTGACTAAGTGAATTCTCATTAAAACTTAAACTCCTGTGAGTGTTTATCTAAACAAATTCCTGATGTGAAATTGTGTTAGAACTAGTTAACGATTAAAACCTAACCTGATCTGTGAATTTACAAACAATGGATCAAATTTACTTAAAACTGTAGTTAGCTTTGAAAATATTGTCATCGATTTGTCAGTGTGTACTGAAAAGCAAACTTCTACATCCAGGTTTAAAACTAGTTACTACTATTTCCTTAACGGACACCTCTACATAGGGGACACCTCTAGTCAACGCAAATATTTGTTTTCTTTTTTTTTGCTAATTTATACGTCATGTGTCAATAGTGAATGGTTCTTTGATAAAATAATGATCACTAGTTAAATTAATAATTTTGTTTTTTTTTAAGCCAAAATTATTTTTTCGTCTACTCCTTTTGCAAGCTTTCGCTTCCTCCATTTCCAAAAATTCGTATACTCTTTTTCATATGAATGCTTGGATTTTGCGGGCACCACTTTATTGATAACTGCGTCCAAAGCTTCGTCCAGAACTGTTGAGGGTACAAAAAATTTGTTTTCGCCTTTATCACAAGTTTAGAAGAATGTAAACAACAGGTTGTTACATTTATCAGTGTTGTTTAATCACTGACATACTAAATTTTTTCCAAAGATGAGTCGACCGCAATTTATGCTATTCATTGATTGGACACTGAAAAATAGTAGAACAGAAAAGTAACAGAAAAACTCGAAACCGAAAAAGTCAATAACCTATACAACTACAAATATAGATATTATAAATTGCACAAACTTCCAGATTTCTGTTACGAGCCACCCGATAACAAGATATCGTTCAGTGCAACGTAAGAAAACAACAGTTATTTTTAGAACTGCCTTTGTGAAGTAAACATTAACGCTATGACCGACAACAACAAACCAATCTCGGTATGTATAATCAAGTTCTCTGATAACAATAAAATAATAATATATTTTCAGTTTTTGGACATATTTTGTGCCATTAGACTGAACGATTTTAACAAATTCAAGAACCTCATTGAAAAATCGCCAAATAAATGGCTCCGAGCTCAAAAACATGGTTTTGACATTATACAACATATCTTGCAAAGAAATAGGTCAGTGCATTAAACTTTTTTAAGTAGTGGCTCATCGTTATTATTCTGCTTTCAGAAAAGAGATGTTCCTCTATTTGTTAAATTTTCAAGACATGATGGATTTGGAAAAGGTCCTGGTCTACATTCTCACTCACAACAACGACAATGAAAACGATTATTACGCTTGTGAAATTATCAAAAAAGGTGTCTTCTTACATGGAAGGTACATCGGAGGACGAAATTTTCTACACTGGTCTGTAGAAAAAAATTGGATAAATATGACAAGACTGTTGCTGGATAAAGGAATGAGTGTCAATATCGTCGACAAAAACGGACACACAGTATTGCAGAAAGTAATAGAAAGAGGTCGTTCTAGTAACGATTACGAATACATTGTCATGCTGCTCTTTTATGGAGCAAACGTTTGTCTTCGAAATTCAGACGGGTACAACGCTTTTGAACTCGCTGTTACACAGAACCACTCAAAATCTGTTCAAGAATCCCTATTTTATCGTACGCTTGATGAAAGAGCCCGCGGTAAAACGCACTTCAAAGTGTTGTTTAAATTAATCAAAAGCGGCTCTCCATTTTCAGCCAAGTATTTTAGCATCATGTTACGCAGTGCATAATAGATTCATCTTAAACTTATTAAGTGTTAGAAATAATAATAATAATAAACATTTACTTTAAAAAAATATTTGCGGACGCGGTTCCCATTGTTACTAATTCACCATTTGATTTGAGCAACAATAAAGCATAACCATTTTTCCATGGTTTTTATAAACATCCTTTTACCTTCAGTAACATCATACCGTATCATTCATCTCTCTATATAAATTCGAAAAACCGAGAAACTTCACTCATTCAAAACATGTTTGCTGCAACTTTAGTACTCTGTGGGGCCTTTTCAGCTGTGGTCACTAGCTCCGAAGTCTTCAGAGTAAGTTTATTAATTAATATGCATTTTTTATTGTTTAAATTGTTTACTGCAGGCACTAGATGTCACTAAATTAGTCCAAGAATGTGCCCAAGAAACTAATACTCCTGAATCTGAATACAACAATGCCGAACTACTGTTTTCTCCGCCACCTGAAAATGTTCTTTGCATGGCAAAATGTTTAGCTGAAAAACTGGAAATCCTTGATTCCGATGGGACAATAATTGAGGAAAAAGTGTCTGAAATTATAGAAGATTTTCCCGAGGATTTGCAGACTGCTGTGGTAGAATGTAATGAGAAAATTAAGAAAGTTGGCAGTTGTGGTGACGTGGAAGAGTACCGGAAATGTATACAACCTGCTGTGGAAAAAGTGAAGAAGATGTATCATCCATAATTTAGTTAATTTTTGTTTGACCAAGTTGCAACCAAGTTGTACATAGAATATATTTTGTTATATGCTAGTTTTAAAAAAATAAAATATTGGCAAAACATTTAAATTATTATTTTCATAGCTTCCAGCACTTTTCATTGGTTTACATAAAATAAACTGCCTAATTTACTCCTCTAAAAGCGAACACATTAAGAAAACTAAATCGTAATATTTTGCTTATCTAAATACGATTTGAAATGACGTCATCAAATTTTTGGTGGGAACTGTAACATCTAAATCTTAGGTTTAAAGTATAGCCACTGGAAACAATATCCGCATTATTAATCAAATTTTTCTCTTGATTGGCGAACGACTATTTCATGTTTTCTCGACGTTATGGTCCTTAAAATATGAAAAATCTGTGACTTTAGGAATATTTTGTAGATAGATAAAATGGGCTGCTGTTCGTCTATCTGTCTGTCTGTCGTTTGTTGTCTGCATCGCTTTTTATTACACAGATATTCTTCGAAACTACTGGGCCGATTGTTGTCAAATTTTATATATTTTTTAGTAAATACCATTTGGATCGAACCAAAATTTGTCTAATCCTTGCATTGTAAATGTTAATGAATGATTAAAATAAAAATCAAGGAACAACGCAATAACGTCCAGAGTGCAATAATAAAATAACTTGGGGAAATTTTGATTAGGACAATTTTGGTTTAACATGCAAAAAATTATGTTAAAAAATTAAACATAATTGATACAATAACTACTTGCTCTACAAATTATGATAATCAATATTGCAAAATTGTACGTTAGATCCTACTTTATATAAAAAATTTGAAAAAAAATAACTAAATAATACGATAATTTTGACTTGACGTATAATGAATCCCATGCTGACGCACTTCTCACTGTTACTAATTTGGCATTTAATTTCAACAGTAACAAAGCGTAACCAAACTTCCATGTTTTTTTTTACACATCCTTTTACCTTCAGTATAATGCACGAGTATCTGTGTATAAATTCGAGAAGTCAAGAAATTGTGTACATTCACAACATGTCCATCAAAACTTCGCTACTGTTAAGTGCCCTTTTGGCCATCATCGTTTCTGCTGATGTTGACGTAAGTTCATTAGTACCTATGTTATCATTCCACAAATATACAGATTTATTTCACAGCTGCAAAAAGCTTCAACCTTAATTCAAAAATGTGCAGAAGAAACCAACACTGCTCCCTCAGAATATAATAGTCCAGATATTTTAACTTCGACACAACCTGAAAATGTTCTTTGTATGGCAAAATGCGTTCTGGAAAAATTCGAAATTGTGGATTCAGATGGAAAAATAGTTAAAGAAAAATTAGCTGAGATTATCAGTGATTGGCCCGAGGAAATGCAGAGTACGACGATAAAGTGTGGGGAGGACCTTGAGACCATAACCTCTTGCCAAACTATGGAGGAGTATAGGAAGTGCATTCAGCCTGCAGTGGAGAAACTTAGAGGAGCGAATTAATTCTTTTTGGGTTTTTGTTTGTGAAAATTGGGCGCTTATTAAATTTAGTAAAGAAATGCTAATTTATTTTGTTATTTTTTTATCCCGAATGGGGGAAAGAAAAGGACACGTGTCAGATTTGACATACGTGTCCTTGTTATAATTTCGAAGACAATTCTTAGGATACAGGGAAACTGATTGCTACCTACTAATAAGGAATTTTTACTGTGTTTATTTACTATTATTTGTAAAATTTCACAACTGCTGGAAGAACACATTTTCTGTATTTTTCCACAACACCACAACTGTCAACTGCCTTAAGTTCTTCTTCACACTTGAAAATTGTGTTTCGTATATCTTCAGGAAAATTACTAGCATAATCAATCAATTTCTCTTCCACCACAACCCCTTCTGACGTAATAACTTCCAATTTTTCGACTATACATTTTCCCATACAGAGAACATTTTCTGACGGTTCTGAAAAAAATATCCCCGGGTTGGTATATTCTGCTTCAGACGTGTTGGTATCTTTTGCACAGTCTTTAATTATTTTAACTATTTCCATCGACTGAAATGACAACAAAGTTAAGCTACAACAAAGACCCAATTTTAAAAGTCACGTTCAAAATTTCACTAGTGCTGAAATTGGTTGCAGACAACAACAGCCACAGAACAACAACGTTGGCAATAATGTTGATGCCAAAGTGATTATGTTTTATTGGCGATGAAATTGAATACAGGAAGTGGTTTAATTTTTTTTAATTATACTTGAAATTATCTCGAAAAATCATTTGTCGCCTAAATAATTTCTGTCATAACTGGTCAATCAAGTAGTCGCCACAGTTAATAATAGTAATAATAATAAACTATTTTAGGCACAAGAAAAGTAACTTTTTACAAAGCAAAAACTTTGTTTTGATATTTATTGTCACCATCTCTAATCGTTGAAAAAATGTGGTTCCAGACATTTTCGATACACTTCCAAGTCACTGCAAACACTAACACGGGTAATTTTTTCAGCGCATACTATAATCTCTTCTTGTATTCTTCTATTAAACGGACTTAAGTAATGCCTGATGACCCCCTTCTGCAAGTTTCCATCAAAATCCATCATTTCCATAAGTTCCATAACACATTTGACCATACACATTTGATTCTCAGTGGGAGTTCTGAGCAAAAACAGTTCGGGTTTGTCGTATTCTGCTTCGGTTACGTTATTTCTTTTCGCACATAGTTTAACAATGTCTAAAATTTCTTGTGGCTAAAAAAATGTAAACTCGGTGTTATTGTAACTTTATCTAATTCACATACCGTCAAAACAGCACTAAATGTCATGGTGTACAGAAACAAGAGGTAAATTAGCAGCACTTTTAAAAACATGTTGTTTGAGAGAATTTATTTAGGGAAACAAAGGTGTTGTGTCACTGGTGAAGGTTGGAGGAAATTTAAAAAAATAATATTGTGGGCGGAAATAAATTGTTTGATATGTTTGAGTGAGGTCATTTGATAATAATCCGGGAGGTGTTGGGTATTGAATGACAAACAAATTACACGCATGTGTTTGTTTTAAGGGTTCAGAAATAGTTTGTAATTTTACGATTAAAAAAATAATAAATTAGCGCATTTTCGTGTGTGTAAATTAGCGGTATTTGGCAATCATTTAATAAATGCGATCGCTGTAATAGTTAGTCGTGTAAATTTGAGTTATTGCGAAATAAATTGTGGAGTTTTACCCACGCCGATTTACATGCCCGTTCAACGCAATGCAGAGAAATTTAATATTTAAATATCATTTCCTGCAACACTTATAACTTAGATAATACATATTTGGACTTAAACTACACATTTACTAACTATGTCCGTGGATTCTTTTACTCTATTAACTAGCTATTTTATTGATTAACTGGTTATTCTCTTGAAAAATATTATTATTTACATTTATTATAATATGTTTTTTCTGATTTTCCATTCAAGATGACAATGCTGCTGAGCTTAACGCCTTTTCAGCTCTGAACTTAATTATAATAGTTATAATACGTAGATTTATTAACTACCTTATTACTAATGCATTAATAAATTTGTGCAGTTTGAGCTTAAATAAATATACATTTCATTCTAGTTATGGCTACTTCAGGTCTTCATCTTGGTCCTTGTACTTGGTTGACGGTTGTTGGTCCTGGTCCTGTAGGACTGGAGGAGGCTGAAAGAGAAATTGTCGGGGGGGGTTCGGCTAATATTTTGCCCTTTTCTTCTTAATATACTGGCACGTATTCTTTTTTTCACAACAAGAAACTTAAACCATGTTCAAAATTTTTGTGGGAAAATATGTATTTTACAATTATGCTCCGCCCCTCCGTCTGACAACGAATGAAAAATTCACCATATATGAGACTGTAGTTTTCTTTAAACAACATGAATTACTTAGGAACATGTTTAATAGGATAATTTCTTGTAGAAAAATAAGGAATTTGCAATTAAGCTCCGCCCTCAGGCTCACGACGAATACAAAAAATCAACACAATTGAGAGAGGGCGGGTGGGCGGGGCTTATACTTTGATCATTTTTTCTTAATATACGTAGTTTTTTTTTCACGATAACAAACTTGAGCTATGTTCAAAGTTGTGATTTTTTCTAGGGGAACATGTATTTTACAATTGTGCTCCGCCTACCGGTCTTACAACCAATGAAAAATTCACCACAAATTAATGAGTTTGGAGCGAGTATAGGTGTGGCTTAATCTTTGGCTTTCTTTTTTACTCAATACACATAGTTTTCTTTAGACAACACGAACTACTTAAGAACATGTTTCATAGGATAATTTCTTGTAGAAAAATAACGATTTTGCAGTTAAGCTCCGCCCTCAGGCTCACAAGGAATAAAAAAAATCATCACAATAAAGATAGGGCGGGTGGGTGGGGCTAATATTTTGCCCTTTTCTTCTTAATATACTGGTACGTATTCTTTTTTTCACAGCAAGAAACTTAAACCATGTTCAAAATTGTAAATTTTTGTAGGATAACATGTATTTTGCAATTATGCTCCGCCCCTCCGTCTGACAACGGATGAAAAATTCATTATATATGAGACTGTAGTTTTCTTTAAACAACACGAATTAGTTAGGAACATGTTTAATAGGATAATTTCTTGTAGAAAAATAAGGAATTTGCAATTAAGCTCCGCCCTCAGGTTCACGACGAATAAAAAAAAAACAACACAATTGAGAGAGGGCGGGTGATCATTTTTTCTTAATATACGTAGTCTGCTTTTCACGACAACAAACTTGAGCTATGTTCAAAATTGTGATTTTTTCTGGGGGAACATGTATTTTACAATTGTCGTCCGGGTCCAGGTGGGTCGTGTCGGTGATGTCGTGGGGGTGGAGGTCCAGGGGTGGTCTCAGGGGCGGTGACATCAGCGTCCTCGCAACGAGATTGGCGTATGGGCAACACATGTGTTTTGTCTTTCCTTTTAAGTATTCTTAGTTTTTGTGATAAATAGTTCTTTGAATTGTTTTTAAATTTTTGAAACGCCATGTGCAAAGTAAAATTTTAAAATTTTGCGGGGCAGTATAGGTCCAAGGGGGCGTGGGTGCGTGTTCGAACTTGTTTTCGGGAACTCGCGCCAGGTGGTGTAAGAGTCGGTTGTTCGCGGCTGGGTATTTGTACGAAGTGTGTAGGTTCTTTATAGCAATGGTGTTATATGCGTTTGACGTAATTTTGCTGCAGTGTTTTTAGACGATCTGGAATGGGGATTGCGTTTATGCGCTGGTAAACATGCAAGGATGGGTATCTGGGGCCGAGTCTGCTATTATTTTGTGTATGGCTCTATTTAGGAGTGTGAGAAGGTTGGAGCGGTGACGGATTTTTTTGAGGGTATTTTCGAAATCAGGAATCAGCGAGCAGTTATCGGAAAAGGTTATGCCCAAATCTCTAATTGTTTTGTATTGTGGAAAGAGGAGCCCGTCCAGGAGGGAACGACCGTGCCGGACGTTTTATTCTTTTTTTTTATTTTCTAAAGTTTCTTTTGTAGATATTCAAGATTATCTTAGCCATGGGATTATCTTAGCCAGACTAGCTGGAGCTCCGTGTCTCCGGCTCTAGATCAATCCCGGCGCTCCCTCCCCGGAGAGGGAGTTGGCGCCCGAGCACCGCCGCTCCCGACTGAAGGCGCCACTACTGGTAGCCTAAAGGTATCCTCCAGACGTGTTTCTTTTTCAGCAGCACTAGTCGGCCGAAGGCTTGGCACCGAGGTACGCCGCCCCCACGCGTATCAGCGAAATTCCGGACCGTCACTGTCCGTCACCGGAATTTCGTATTTCATTTTTGAATATATTGTTTTAAAATGTTTTTAAATATTGGTATTATCACTACTTTCCGATTTTAACGATATTTTTACCAAGTCAAGTTTTGATACTTTCCGATATGTCATGGTTTATTGACACATAAACGGATTATCGATTATCACTACCGATAAGACTGTGTCGCCCATCCCTAGTCACATGTGCGAGCCAACCAGTCAGCCGTCATTGTTTGAATTTTGTTGCGAATCCTCCTACGATCACTGGCAAACCCCTTGAGGTTCGCGTATCCTATTTTGAGAAACCCTGGATTAAACCATCATATCAGACCTTGTCAAATGCACGCTCAATGTCTAGAAAGACGGCGATCGTGCACTCTTTGAGGTTGGCGAATCGGGTAGAATCGGTATGGAGCTCTAGAATGGGGTTTAATGTGGAGGGCTGCTAGTGAAATCCGAATTGCTGCTGTTTCTAGGAAGTCTTTTAGGCGGTTGGTGAGGATTTTTTCGAAAATTTTTCCAGTGATATTTAATAGAGAAATCGGGCGATAAGAAAATGGGTTGTGGGGATCTTTTCCGGGTTTGGGAATCATAATTGTGGAGGTTTGCATTCATGAACTTGGGAAATATGAAGCATTTAGACAAGAATTGTAGTTGTTGGTCAGAGCTTGGGTGGCTGTTGACGGAAGTTTTTTAGGAGTATCGCCTTGATTTGGTCTGGCCCT